GATAGAGCTTCTGGTTCTGTTAATCTTCTGTCTTCTGCACCTTATTGTTTTTCTCTCTTCTTGTCTCACTGCATTGCTCTTTAATACATTTTGGTAGGTGATTCACTTGGCTGAACTTAATCTCCAAACTCTGCCTCTCTGGAGATAGGTAGTCGCTGAAGCTGTAATTTATTAAGTTCTTTCAGCCTTAGCTGGATGCCTGGAGTTTGTCCAATGCTTGCATAAATAAAAGATTAGTCAGAAATTTTGAACTTTTAAGTGCTGGTGAAGGCTTTAAAAAAAAGTGAGGAAAAGCCTACAGAGGTCTGTAGATCAAGAGGGACTGTCCTTAAGAATCTGCACCTTGCTAGCCTCATCAGCACCCAAACCTAATTCAGAGGACAAGATTCTTAACTTTGAGCTGGTACTATAAGATGAGACTTTGTGGGTGGGGGGGTTTGGAAGGGGGGTGAGTGTTTTTCAAGTAAAAGGACATGAATCACCAAGGAGTCTGCCAGAACAGGCTGTGGGAGGGAGCCATAAAGATGGCTCCCAATGATCTTGCCTCCTGTTATCCGTACTCTTTTGTAATCCTTTCCCCTTGGAAATGAGCTGGACCTCATGACCACTTCTAATTAACCGAATACAAAAAGAAGGGATGTCACTAGTAATAATAGGTTACAAAAGGACTTTGGCTTCCGTCTTAGGTACCCTCTCTTGCCTGCTCACTTTCAAGGAAGGCAGATGCCATGCTCTGAGCTGCCCATGTGGAAAGAACTGATGTGCCCAGACAAAAGCCAGCAACGACCCCCAACCCAGCCAACATTTTAAATAAGTGCGTTCGGAAGATGATTCTCCTCCAGTAAAGCCTTCAGATGACTGCAGCATTGGGCAACAACTTGCCTGCAGCCTTGTGGGAACTGAGGCACCCAGGTAAGCCATGCCTGATTCCTTTCCCAAAGAAATTGTAAGATAATAAATATGTTTGTTTTAAGCCACTATGCTTTAGGGTCCTTTGTTACATAATAGCTAACGATCTTACCACCACAACTCTTACTCTATGATACAGCGAGTTAAAGTAGGGATCCTATCAGTAATCAAAGATACCATATGGATGGATTAGAATGACAGTAGCTACTATGATCAAAACCCAAGTGTCATCACCTTAACACATACAAGTTTATTTCTCACTCACATAATAATCCGTTGCTGGTGCTCCTGGGTGGCTGATGGCTTTCCTCCAAATAGTGGTTTAGGGGCCCAGAGTTCTTCCTTCTTGCAGTTTTGCCATTCCATATTATCAAGATTCTTCTTCCAGCTGGACAGTACGTCATCTTATTAACAAAGCCCCAACTGACATACTGCTATTCAAACCACACTGAAGAAAATTAGTCTAATAGCCATAACCAGAAGCAACAGTGGCTGAGTAATGTAGGATGTGCCTAGATACTCACATTCCAGAATCAATTCCAGACAATAGAAAAAGAGGCACAACCTTTGGTGGTCATCTAGTCATAACACAGATATTAACAAATACCCATGACCTTGGAAAATAATCATATTATGGGTTTTTGGTAACTGGACCTGCTATAAGCTAAACTAGATAATAATTCCCCTATAAGCCATCACTTGCATAAATGCAAGTCTTTTAGGAATTCCAGTGGAAATGTTCGTAGTGATTTTAATTACAATCAGTCAAGAGTGCTCAGTCCCTTTTCTACTGACACAAATCAATGTGTGACTGGGCAGCCATGCCATGAAATGCCCTTAATTAAAACAAAACCCTAATGCAGTTTCGACCCTGGGGACCAGTTATTAAATACAGTGGAAATAGGGCTCTGGGTGGCTCAGTCGTTAAGCGTCTGCCTTCAGCTCAGGTCATGATCCCCGGGTCCTGGGACGGAGACCCGCATCGGGCTCTCTGCTCGGCAGGAAGCCTGCTTCTCCCTCTCCCACTCCCCCTGCTTGTGTTCCCTCTCTCGCTGTCTCTCTGTCAAATAAATAAATAAATAAATCTTTAAAAATAAATAAATACAGTGGAAATATCAGGTATCAGAACATCCTAGGAGTTCTGTGGTTTGTCATAACCATTTCACTTTCTTCCTGTGGTTAACCATTCCCTGTAATTCACTACGACACATGCCATAGTTCAGTAACACTTTTTTTTTTAATCTGTTTGAGAGAGAGCATGCAGGGGGGAGGGGCAGAGGAAGAGGGATAAGCGGGCTGCGCGTGGAGCCTGATGCAGGCCTCAATCTCAAGACCCTGAGATCGGGACCTGAGCCAAAATGGAGTCAGATGCTTAACCAACCGTGCCACGCAGGCACCCCCTTAATAACCCTTTCGAATGTAATCTCTCATGAGAAGTCCCAGTACCTGAAGGAGGAGACTTGAGGAAAATTTAAAGATGCTAGTGCTTCATGTCAAAAGAACATGCAAAGGCTACTGGACCCTGACAGGTGACCTTGCAAAAGACGAGTCAGGGGCATGGACATAAATGATCCAAGCAAGCATTATAAACTTTTGAATTCTTTCACATCCTTACGTATTATGCAAGTAATTTTTTTTAAACATTTTATTTATTTATTTGACAGAGAGACAGCGAGAGAGGGAACACAAGCAGGGGGAGTGGGAGAGGGAGAAGCAGGCTCCCCGCTGAGCAGGGAGCCCGATGCGGGGCTCGATCTCAGGATCCTGGGATCATGACCTGAACCCAAGGCAGACGTTTAACGACTGAGCCACCCAGGCACCCCTATGCAAGTAATTTCTAACTCTCAGAATAATTTCTAAAAATATTGCTTAGATTTTTGATGGTATAATTAGTAAAGGATATTAAATATTTCAGGGTGAGATTAATCTCCTCCCTATCTTTATTTCAAACTATAGGTCAGTTTTTGCTTAAGGCCAGAATTTCAAGCCATAATGGTGGGACTAAAAGAGCAGACTCCATTTTAAGAGTTTCTTCTCTGGAAGGTATGACAAGAATTAGTAGGGAGGTTTCTTACAGTTTGAGAGAGTAAAGTTTTCTAAGATGATTGAATCCTTCATGATAACCCCATTTCAATAATGTAGATTCAGGTCTTCCTCAGACTTAAATTTCATTTAAAAGAAGTGGCAAGGTTGAGAATTCAGTAAAAATCACAGCTCAGCAACTAACTGGATCTACTGTTGCATTTGGCTTTCGGCATCTGCAGCCCCAGTTAGAGTAAGATGATTCTCAACACAATCATAAAAAGACCTTCATTTCAATTTTTGCTTAAGGCCAGAATTTCAAGTGGCCTTTTACTTATCTAATTTCATTATAAACAAGCATCACACGTTTTTGGAACTAGGATTCCTCGTCGCCTTTAGTTGTTGGTAAGAGCTATCTAGTCCGTAATGTGCTTTGGGTTTATAATCCTATTGTATCACGAATAACCTTTTTCGGGGTGCCTGGGTGGCTCAGTCGGTCGAGCATCTGCCTTCAGCTCAGGTCATGATCCCAGGGTCCTGGGATTGAGCCCCACATTGGGCTCCCTGCTCAATGGGGAGTCTGCTTCTCCCTCTGCCTTCCCCCTGCTTATGCCCCCCCCGCAAATAAATATTTTTAAAAGAATAGCCTTGGGGCACCTGGTGGCTCAGTCTTCAAGCATCTGCCTTCAGCTCAGGGCATGGTCCCAGGGTCCTGGGATCCAGCCCCGCATCAGGCTCACTGCTCCACGGGAAGCCTGCTTCTCCCTCTCCCACTCCCCCTGCTTGTGTTCCCTCTCTTGCTGTGTCTCTGTCAAATAAATAAATAAAATCTTAAAAAAAAAATAGCCTTTTCTAGGGATATATGCATGCCTATATTTATAGCAGCATTATTTACAATAGCCAAATTATGGAAGCAGCCTAAGTGTCCATCGATAGATGAATGGATAAAGATATGGTATACATATACAATGGAATATTCAGCCACAAAAAGAATGAAATATTGCCATTTGCAATGACACAGAGCTAGAGAATATTATGCTAGGTGAAATAAGTCAGAGAAAGACAAACACTATATGATTTCACTTATGTGTGGAATTTAAGAATCAAAACAAACGAGCAAAGGGGAAAGACAGACAGAGAAGCCAAGAAATACTCTTCATTACTGAGAACAAACTGATGGTTACCAGAGTGAAGGAGGGTGGGGCCTGGGAGAAATAGGTGATGGGGATGAAGGAGTGCACTTGTCCTGATGAGCACTGGGTGATATATGGAAGAAATTTACAGATTTTCTCTATTATACACCTGAAACTAGTATTACACGTATGTTAACTATACTGGAATTAAAATAAGATTCAAAAGAAGAACAGCCTTTCCTAATACAAATAGAATTAAAAGTTTCTATCTTTTGATCTATCTCATTCAATAATCAATCCTGAATACTCCACCTCTCTATCCTTTGCTAATCATTCTCTAGTATCAGTTGCCATGTGGACCAGCTTTCTTTGGTTGAGAACAAAAGCAGACTTAAAATCAGAAGTTAAATATTGGAAGAATATCAAGTACCTCACCGATCTAAAGAACTGAACGAGGATGTGAGAAAGCAGGAAAGGTTTTAGTGGATCAGAGTGGTAGGTAGGGATGCAGAAATCTTCACGCTGCTGCCAAAGGATGACTCAACTCCAACTACAGTACTTCAGCCCAGGAGTGATATTTCACGTTCTTAACAGTTACAAAAGGGCCCCAACCAATCACAATGAATACTAAAAGAAAACATCCATTATGCCATACATAAGGCTGAATATTGGCCCTGCTCCTGTCCCTATGTCTCCAATCAAAATACAAAGAATAAAAATCTAACAGGCTTAATTGGATCCATGTGTGACTGTGGAACAACTACAGATGAAGAAAGTGAACGTGCCAACAAAGAACTGGAAAAAGTGTGTGTTAAAGAGACAAAAACAGATTTCAACATATATACTGAAAAAATATGTGTATATACACACATGCACATATATACACGCACACAATATTAATTTTGACGCTATGACTGTAAGATTTCACACATTAGGTTTTGCAAGTCACATATCTCGTTTAATATATTGTGGACGGACAACTCTCCATAGAAGCATACATAGAATTTAACCTCTTTCTACTAACCAGACAATACAGTATTGAATAATCAGTTTAATGAACCTGCTTGGCAGGACACTGAAATCCTATTTATCATAATTACAACAATTTTACAATAAACATTATTTACATCTATTTATTCCAATGGGACAAAATTCCTAGATCTAGGATTATTGTTTCAAAAGGAACGCATATTTATAAGGCTGATAAGTCATACTATGTTGCCGTCCAAAAAGGAGACAAATTTACACAGCTAATGATCAAGTATCTGTTTTCCCACACTGATGTCAGTACTGGGTATTATCCAAATTTTAGATTTTAATCCATCTGAAAGCCAAGAAGGTTTGTTTTATTTTGTAATTTTCTGATTAGCGAGGCTAAGAAATTTACAGATTTTCTCTATTCATTTGAAGTCTTCCACCAACATGCCCGTTGGTATGAGCTGCCAATTGTCCCCCCACTACTTTGTATGTGTAATGGCACTTTGTTCCCAAATGACATATTTTTTCATATAACTTGTATTATTTTGTCAATTGTCTTTTACATCTTTTTAGTGACTTCCACCATGCTGAAGTTTTAAATCTTTGTCCAGGCCAACTTTCTGCCTTCCTCATGTCTTCTAGGACCCCGTGTCCTACTTAGTAAAGCCGTCCTCCTTTCTCTGTTTGCTTCTTACATATCATTTCATAATTAGAAATGTTAAATACAATTGCATGATATTTTTCTGTAAGGTATGTGTGCTTTTTTTTTTAAGAGGGTGGATAACCAACTGTCAAAACATTTCCCCCAATAACGAAAAACCAGTCTTATTATATACCAAAATCTGAAATGCGAAGAAACCTATTTCAAAAACGTCCCCGCTATGCTTGCCAAATTATCTTTCCTCGGGTAGTTTCAACTAAACTGTCGAGGTAAACATACCCTACTGGGACTCTGTTGTGGATGACAGTTTACAAACACGTTCACAGTATTGAGTGTTTCATCTAGAAAAATGTATTTCTCCTCTACGGACATATTTTCATATTTCAATAGTTGAATAATTCCCTTTCACCTCTATTCCTAAGTTGCCTTATAGTTTGTCTTGTTTTGGAAGTGAGAGTTGTATTATACACTTAGAAATAATTAGAACCTTTAGTATATTCTTCTCTGTGCCAAAGCAGGGTTGGCAAACTTCTTCTGTAAAAGGACAGAGTAAATGCTTGAGGCTTTGTGGGCCATATTGGCTCTGCTGCGGCTACTCAACTCTGTCGCTGTGGAGTGAAAGCGGCCACAGGAAAATGTGAACAAATGAGTGTGGCTCTATGCCAATAAAACTTCATTTACAGATGCCGAAATTTAAATTTAATGTAACCTTCATGTTGTCACAAAATATTCTTTTTGCTTGTTCAACCATTTAAAAAAAATTTTAATTTAGATCATGGAAAACCAGTGAGACTTTGGTCACTGGATTAGTCTGCTGACACCTACTTTAGAATGGTTTACCTCAAAGTTGACAGTTCCTTAAAAGTTGAAGCAAGTTCATTCATAAGCCCAGGTGATTTTAAATAGATCAAATCTTTCCAAATTTTCTAATTCTTGAGTAACAGGTCAGTAGTTTTAACTTCGTACATACAAATCTTGCATTTTTTCTGATTATTGCATTTCTTTTGTTCTAAGAGGCCTACTGATCCATGTTCTCTACACACTTCCTAAGACTGTTGTCAGATGTATAGTAAAGCTGAATTCTCTCACCAATAGTCACATCACCTTACATTTATGCAGATGAGATGGAAAGCCACAGTTCTAACTCAACATTATGGAAACAAGTTTTAAACCACCATTGGCAAAAACCTCGCTGACTACCTTGAAACTCCTGTTCCTGATCTAAACTGGTTTCTCCTGGCCTCCTTCTATGCATCATTTTTATTCAGAGCTGACTGTGGTAACTCTTCAATGTCCTAAAATAATGTTTTACTCAACACTTGGTCTGGACCAGGCACTGTGCTAAGCACATCTTACGTATTAACCAATTTAAAGGATCTCAACACAAGTTTTTACCTAAGAAGTGAATGAATTGTATTTACACTTAAAAAAAATCAATCTGACTGCAATGTGAAGAACAAACTCATAAAGGACAACAAAACCAACCAACCAGAGGGACCAGTTTTTAAACTAACGGAGCAGTCCAGCTGAAATAACAATGTTGAGACTATGGTGATGGGAGTGAGGACGGACCCCAGAGAAATCTGGGAAGCAGATCCACAGGATTCGATGTGGAAGGTAAAGAGGGGCGTGCTGATGACTCTCCATTATGAATTCTCTGATGAGCAAGGTGTGCGGTCTGCCTGAAGACTTTTCTGCTTTTCTTATAGTTATAGGATCTCTCTCCAGTGTGGACTCTTTTATGTTGATTAAGATGTCCGATTTGGATGAAGGTTTTCCTACATTCTTTGCATTCATATGGTTTCTTTCCAGAATGAATTCTCTGATGGACACTAAGGGACTGACGATGGCTAAAGGCTTTGCCACATGCGCTACACTCATAAGGTTTCTCTCCAGTATGACTTCTGCGATGACAAATAAGCGAGGACTTTGTCTTGAATGCCTTCCCACATTCAATACATTCATAAGGTCTTTGGCCAGTGTGAAGCCTCTGATGTTGAGTACAGGATGAGTTATCACCAAAGGCCTTCCCACATTCAATACATTTATAGGGTTTCTCTCCAGTGTGAACCCTCTGGTGTTGAATAAGGTGTGTGGTTTGGCTAAAGGCTTTACCACATTCCTTACACTCATATGGTTTCTCTCCTGTATGAGTTTTCTGATGCTGGGCAAGGTGAGCCTTCTGGGTGAATGCTTTACTACAAACCTTACATTCATAGGGCTTCTCTCCAGTATGAATTCTCTGATGAGTAGCCAGCTGTGAACTGATGCTGAAGGATTTACCACATTCCCCACACTCAAAGGGTTTCTCTCCAGTATGGATCCTCAAATGACTAGCAAGGTGTATATTCTGCCTAAAAGCTTTCCCACATTCTTTACATTTAAAAGGCTTTTCTCCAGAATGCACTCTTTGATGTTGAGTGAGTGATGCATGATGGCTGAAGGCTTTTCTGCAAACATCACATTCATATGGTTTTTCTCCAGTATGAATCCTTTGATGTACAGTAAGGGATGAGCCATATCTAAAGGCTTTGTCACATACATCACATTTGTAGGGTTTCTCTCCAGTATGAATTCTCCTATGTTGATTAAGTCCTATGTGATCACTGAAGGCTTTCCCACAATCGATGCAATCAAAGGGTTTCTCCCCAGTATGATAATACCTCCAGTGACGAATAAGGGATGTGTTCTGTATGAAGGCTTTCCCACATTCGATACATTCATAAGGCTTCTTGCCAGTGTGACATCTTTGATGTCTAGCAAAGGATGAGCCGTCACTGAAGGCCTTTCCACATTCATTACATTTATAGGGTTTCTCCCCAGTATGAATTCTCTGATGAACAGTAAGGGATGAGCTCTGGGTAAAAGTTTTCTTACATTCATTACATTTGAAAAGTTTTTTTCCTGCATAAATTCCTGGATGTTTTATTACCACTGAATTTTTGGGAAAGTTTTTCTTAACTGAATCACGATTATGAACTCTCTCTTCTGAAATGTCCAAATGAAACCATCTTCCAGATTTATTAAAAGTACGTTCTCTTTCCTTAGAGAGGGTTTTGTTATGAGTGATTGTCTCTTGCCTGAATTGTGTCTCCTGACCTACCAGCTTCCTTTCAAACATACCCTCAGAACCCCAATTTTCTCTGAAAGTGGAACACTCCAAATTCGTGTTTGAAGTTCTATCCGTTACTTCAGCGAATGAATCTTGCTTCGGAAATAATTCCTGGGTCTCATTTATAGATTGTTGGCCTGAAAGATATCAAGAAAACAAATATTTCCTTTATTGTGTGCTAGAAAAAGGAATTTGCTAAAAGGAAAATTGTGAATGAATTCACTAATTGGTGAAATAAACCCTAATTAAACCACATAAACTATGTGGCTCCAAAACATGTAAACATGCAGTTGACAATGTATGTAAGTAAGCCCCAGCGTGAATTTATACAGGAGCCTACAAGAGGTGAGCAGAAAAGAATTAAATATATGTGGAATCAGTTACATATTAGGAGAAGGGGATTGGGAAAGTGTTCTGCAATCACACAGCCTAAGAATGCTGACATTCATTGCCTTTAATTTTTCTCCTGTCCTGTCTTGCTTCAATGCCAGCAGTCATAACATCATGAAAGCACCAAAAAGACAAAGTATTCATTAACATTTATCAGGATTATCTGAAAGCTGGTCATTCCCCTACAACCAGAAAATAAGGTTTCTGCTAACCACATCTTAATTTTTTTTTTT